CTGTGTCTTTCTTTCTGTCAGCTGGTGTTGCCTCAGTTTCTGAAAGTCGTACCTGTCTACGTTAACAGTCTGCGCAAAAGTGAAGTGCTGCTGCCTGGGCTGCGGAGCTCTGTACATCAACGTCTACGACTGCGTAGCCTCATTGTCTCCATGGACACGCTGAGCGCTGCTTCCCAGTTCTACCCACTTATTCTGCCTCTGGTGAGAGACAGACATCTAGAACATTCTGTTCATCCAAATTAGTCACTGAAATGAGACAGTTTCCTTGTCTGTAAGAATTCGTAATTCTCTGTTGGATTGTTATGCACATGGCAGGATTTAGAGATGCCACATTCTTCACGACTCTAGCAAAAAATGCATTTACTGTATCTCTCTATTTGTATCATATTGTTTTTTACTTATTATGTCAAGATTTCTGGCACCAATATAATTATAATTAGGCATGCACACTATATTAGTATAACATTGAATGTCTGCTGATATTAGAAATGTATTTTGTAATTTATCAGTATAATTTATCAATATATGATAAGTATTGGATATATATCAGCCAATACTGAATATTTAATTGTCTATTTTTAGATTTAGATTTTCTTTGTTGTCATATAATTCCTGCGTAAACTTATTACATTACACTAATTTACATATACACTAATTTACATTATTAAATGTAATCTTTAGCAAATCTTAAAATGAATGTCCACTTTTTATACTGTATATTACAGTGTTGTAATGCCTAAATTCACTTACAGCATTTAAAATGATTAATTTTAGTTTTAAAGTTGTATCTCTAATTTATTTAGACAAAATTGTATAAATAGTATAAATGTTATCTATCATCTGCCAGTTCTTGGTATTTGCCATAGCAAGAACATTACTACCAGCTTATTGGTATTGACTAGATTTTTCATAATTAAAAAAACAAGAAAAGACAAAAAAATATATCCAAAAATTTGTCATAAATAGACCAATTTTCTATTATTGTCCATTTTCCACAGTGTCGAAACCAATAAAAACAGGCAACTAACTGTACCTTTAAAGGCTCTTTGTGTAAAAGACCTCTATAATAAATGGTTTTGTTGGACTGGAATGGGAACTGAAAGCCATGAAAGTTTGTCTGCATTGTACACCAAACGTAAAAAAGAGCAAGGAAAATCCATGTCACATTTAAGGCCAAAGCAAACTTCCACCTAAAATATTGACACTTTCTCTCCTGATGGGATGATGACGCCTCTGTCTCTGTGTTTACCCTTCTCACCCCTGCAGTCTGTCTCTGCTGATAATGCCAACATGCCATCATTAGGAGAAGCCGTGCGCTGCACTGTCTCTAGTCTGGATCCAGGGGGTCTGTGTCTGATCTACTGCCCACTGGCACTGCTCCTTTGGGTGGGCAGCTGTGTGCCTCCTCATACTCTTCTACAGCTTTTCAACACCAACTCCTTCTCCTACCTCACATCTGGAGAGGTGAGGCGGGGACACATTGAGTTGGCGTTTACATTAACATTTATTCATTTAGCAGAGTTTATCTAAAGTGACTGACAAATGAGAACAATTCGTAGAAGCAGTTCATCTAAGGGAGAATCTGAGGGTTGGATACATGTTTTTAATGAAAACTTTGAAATCTAATCAGCTGCTTTCTACCATAATAGACTACTAGATAATGGGCAATTGACAAATAAGGTGTCCATGAACTGTATATAGGAAAAGATGTGGTAAGATCCCCCCACACCACCTCGATTAATTTGATCAATCAAATCAGTTTTGAGGTTAATTTATCTAAATTTGTATCTTTATAACTAGTGATCTATGACTTTGTTTTATGTTTAATATCAAAGTTTTTTGTGTCTATTTGTTAATGAGGGATTTGTGGACACATTAATATTTTTAGATTTGTGGAGAAAAAATATTGTTTTTATTTTGAATTGATAAGATAAAATAGAAACTTAGAAATAGCACAGAAGGCCCTAAGTGACTTGTTACTAATGTCATTATTTTCTTCAATAATTATTGTAATCTATGGGGTTATTATTGAGTATTTCCATGGGTAAGATGTGCATTTCAGACATATTTGCTGTTTATTAAAACCTATAGGCTAATTAAGTGAAATCATTATGCTATTATGACATCTTCAGTTAAAATATGGGCAGTTAAATATGGTATATATTCATATGTTTATATGTTCATATGTTTATATGTGCATATATATTCATATGTTTATATATTAGTCATAGAATAAATTTACCTTCCAGATGAATCTTCAGTTTTAAATATAATATTTGATTCAGTCTCTTATGCTCACCAAGTCTGCATTTATTTGATCAAAAATATAGTAAGACCGTGAAATATTATTACAATTTAAAATGTTTTCTATTTTGATGTATTTTTAAAATGTAATTTATTTCTATAATGGCAAAGCTGAATTTCCAACTATTACTCCAGTCTCCTTAGTGTCACATGATCCTTCAGAAGTCATTCTAATATGATTATTTGGTGCTCAAAAAACATTACGTTTTACTATCAATGTTGAAAACAGTTGTGCTGCTTAATATTTTTGATGAAACTGTGATACATTTTTTTCTAGGATTTTTTGATGAATAGAAAGATCAAACAAACAGCATTTATTTGAAATAGAAACCTTTTGTAACATTATAAATGTCTGTACTGTCACTTTTGATCAATTTAATGCGTCCTCACTGAATAACACACAGACACATATATATATAGATAGATATACAGTGGGTACGGAAAGTATTCAGACCCCCTTAAATTTTTCACTCTTTGTTATATTGCAGCCATTTGCTAAAATCATTTAAGTTAATTTTTTTTCCTCATTAATGTACACACAGCACCCCATATTGACAGAAAAACACAGAATTGTTGACATCTTTGCAGATTTATTAAAAAAGAAAAACTGAAAAATGCTCAGTATTTAGTAGAAGCACCCATTTGATCTAATACAGCCATGAGTCTTTTTGGGAAAAATGCAACAAGTTTTTCACACCTGGAATTGGGGATCCTCTGCCATTCCTCCTTGCAAATCCTCTCCAGTTCTGTCAGGTTGGACGGTAAACGTTGGTGGACAGCCATTTTTAGGTCTCTCCAGAGATGCTCAATTGGGTTTAAGTCAGGGATCTGGCTGGGCCATTCAAGAACAGTCACAGAGTTGTTGTGAAGCCACTCCTTCGTTATTTTAGCTGTGTGCTTAGGGTCATTGTGATTTATATTTGTTTCAATGTGTATTTGTTTTTGTTCAGCTAAAACTGGTGCGAGAGGGTGACAGCTGTGAGGAGTCTCTGCAGCGCCTCCTGGTGGAGGACAAGAGTCCTAACGGTGGAGCTTCATATGCTGATTTCCTTTTTCACCTTCATGTCAATGCATTGCGTCTTACTGTGTGACAGTCTCTTCTCATAGACAAGGCTGTGGAATATTTGTAAAGCCCTTTGTGATAGTTCAGTCTCATTGAATTTTATCTTTTGCTCCCTCTATAGCCATTGCGGTCATTCTAAAAATCAATGAGGAATAAGAATTCTGTCTTGTATGTATTTCCCAAACATTTACCTCTGAAATACGTACATTTTACAAATTGAGTAAATGCAAATTCGATGTGACCAGCTTATTATAGGAGAAATGCTGAATACTAAAATTAGTCCTTTAATTTTCAAGGGCCCAGAATGATTGAATACTGTTTGAACTCCCATCAAAGACTCAAGTGATTAATGATTCTGTATTTGAAGTGTGTGTGTGTGTGTGTGTGTGTTTGGTTCTAGACATGGGCTTGATTTAACATTTGCTCTTGAGTCATGAATATTGCACTCTGAATTGAATTCATGAATTTGCTGAACTGACAGTGGTGAGTTAGAGTGTGTATATTTTTCAAGCAATAAAATATTCATTGTTTTTTCTTTGGTCTCATTACACATCAATATTTGATGTCTTGATAAAACAATAAATTGAAAAATATTTTTCAATGAGCCATCAGCATGTGAACCTAACACTTTACAGTTTTAATCTTTTTTTTTTTTTTTTTTTTTTTTTAGTTCATTTTAGTTTATTTCTCGGCCGAATCTCTTTAGCATTGATCTTCTTTCCAATATATGTTCTTGTGAATTTCTGCCCCTCCTCCACAGAGAACCAAAACACTCCTAATGAGTCATACCAACTCTAATTAGTGTAATTGGGGTTAATGATGTTGACATTGAGCTGCATATGAAATGAGTGGGCGTCCAAGTTCGTTATCTAATGGCTGAAAAAATACACACACACACAGAACCAAATGAGCAATGTAAACATAATGGAACTATTATTAGCTTAAAAAAATCATTTTTAATGCATCTAACCATTTCAGTGTAAAAATAAAAAAATAACCTTTTTTTTTTAATACTTGATTACACAACATACAAAAGACAACACTTTGTGTATTCCATATACATGTGAAAGGTCTGTGGAAGCCAACAAAAAACATGTCAGTCACCACCCATTCAAAATTATACCCCCATTTCCATTTATCCTTGTCAATGCAAAAGACAACATTATGATCCTATCATGCATATAAAAAATTTATAATACATTTATAATACACTTTATTTGTATATAGAGCCTTACATATAATGGAGCTCAAAGTGCTACACAAATCAGAGTATAAAACAGAAATACAATACTTAAAATACAATGAAATCTGTACAATTAAAATGAATTTTAAAAAGTATATTGAATAATTTTCGAAATGTTAGATTCACGATGTTTGCATGTATTGAATATTTTATTTTCGTCTACCATCGGTGCTTTATTTATTTTTACGTTGGTTTGCACGACGCTAGCACGATTACGTAAGAGCTCATCGAAATACAAATAGCCCCCCTCATGGTTTGTCCCTATTTGGAGTTACAGTAACAGTAAACCAGTAGCGCGCCCACGCAGGCTAGTTCTGCATGCCGCCGATAGGTGGCGAGCTTGAGTCAGCTGTCAGCGAGCTCTCGCAGTCTATTTCGAAGGCAGGCGATTGGAGCACAGCGCGGGGGTGAGGACGCCCGCCGTCAGCATACACGCTACCCTACTCAACCATAAATCTGTCATTTCAAAACATATCAGGCTTTTTTTGAGCGCAAAATCGAGGTGACTATCCCGGACGCTCTGGCTCGCTGAATCAAGGACGATTTTTAATTCTTAAAACGTGTCCGAGTCCGAGACGGGAAGACATGGCCACGACTACATGCACACGCTTCACGGACGAATATCAGCTGTACGAGGAGCTGGGCAAGTGAGTATCACGAGGTTAACGGTTGTGCATGTGTGGAACTGTCCTGCATGAAGATTGCATGATGATATTTGGGCAGGTTACCAAACTGACAGCAAGCGCGAGGAGTGGTGGTGCCCCGATAAACGTGCTGTCACCGAGGGAGGAGATAGACACACGCAAGTCTGCCAAGATCCGCTGACCACCACTCAGACCGTCTAATATGATTTCAAAACAACCCACTTACCGCAGATGCAACAAAATATTGATTAGTGCAACGCCCCTCAAGCAAATATTCCTTGATCATCAGATGCAAAAGTAGAAATGCAAGAGCAAAATTTAGAGGCAGTTTGCTCTGGGCAGTATTTGACATTTCCACGTAATCAACGTCTTGGTGCTTTACTATAAATACTGTATGTAGGCTATGATATAGCGATGTCCGAATAGTGAACTAATCGTTCGTTGATTCGGATCTTTTGAAGGAATCGGTTGATCCGGTTCACAAACCGGTCTGAACTACTTGTTCACGAATCTGACTGAATCGGTGCAAATGAACTCGGTTGTCTCTGCATTTGGAGTGAACTGATAGAACACTTGCAACTTGAGGCGAACTTTACTTCAGTAGCAGAAATATTAACAAATAAAACGTACTGGAAATATGTTTGCGTCTTGACCAGTATGACAGGTTGATCACAGATTTGAAAATTCCATTTGTGTAAAAACGGTTTCAGCCAAGAGGTTTAATTGATGTAGGATTGCAAATTCAACTTATATTCAGGCTGTAAGTAACTTTTAAGAGCTAAAATACTTTGATTTTATGAGGTGGTGAGATATGACTATTTAAATGTGTTTAAGCTCGTAAAATTTCACGCTGGAATTTCAGGGACCACGTGATGACATGAATAAATCATGGGTAATAGAATCATTGAATCGTTATTTTGAATCGGATCTTTGAAATTAACTGTTTGGAAAAATCGATTCGCGGAAAGGAGTCTTTAGCGAAAAGGACAATGAAAAAACTGCTACTACTACGATGGCCTATTTCATATGCTTACATTATTATCATTCAAAAATCATTCTTTGTAAAAGAACCGTCAAAATAATGTATTGTTTAACGCGAGACATATTGTTATGTGTACAAGTATTACTTCCTTTAATCAGAGTTTGGATAGTCAGTGCTTTATATGCGTGTAAGTGCATAGTTAACTTTTTTCTCGTTCTCGACCATCTCGTTTTTTTTTTTAGAACTGGGATTGAATGTAGAGGTTATGCAAATTCTCCCTGGGAATCAAGTATTACAGGAACAATGAGTGAATGGAGAGATAGTGAGGAAGAGGAAATGAACAGCAAGGATTTAGTGATGCTTTCACGGATGTGAAGGGGCAGCAGGGCAAGAGCATTTGATGAAGGTCTCATCACTCCTCAGGCCTGAAGTCTAGCAGAAAACAACATTCAAATTGTGCATTGCTGCTCAAATCAGCAGAAATATGCTGATATTATCGCACGTGACTTCTGACAGCACATTGTAGCACAGAATCGCATGTGACCTGTGTGTTTATGTGTCTCTCTTTTACCCTGTAGCTCCAGTCATCCCAGTAATGCAGGGAGAGGTGGTTGTAGAGGAGGAACTGGAGTCTTTGTGCCTCACACACACACACACACATATCCAGTTCTTATAAATCACTTTAATAGACACTAAGGGCTTTAACTGGCCTGACAAAAACAGGCCCCATTGAAGAGCACTTACGGGTGACTGCGGTTTGTTAAATACTGCCTAGAGACGACCCCTGACATGATTGGCAGTGGTTTTGAGATTTTTGAAAGTTTTTTATTAATGATGTCTGATGACTTTTTTCTAATGTATTTTTTGATGCCACCAATGGATTTTTCACACTAAGACAAGGGACGTAATTAAGAAAGTAAAGTAAGAGTCAATGGTGATTTCTGGCTGATTTACACACCGTAAAAATTACACACTTCACCTTTTAGTGAACTTTCTAACAGACCTACATATAAGGCTGCACGATTAATAGAATTATGAAATTGCGAAGGCCGGCAATTACTTTCAATGTATATGCAGAGCATTTCAGAGGGAAGCACAGCACTGTGTTCATTTACTCGCTAACAGCCTTATGATCTGGTATTTTCAGTGTCTCAAGGCCGGGACACACCAAGCCGACTTCAAAGAACTAGCGGCGACGAAAGCCGATGGTGTTGTCGCCTCACGTCGGCAGCGTCGGACCAAAAAGCTGCGCTCAAACACACTGCACAAACTACAGCAGACGGCAAACGAACACGTGCGTTCTGCGCATGCGTGAGAGGAATTAACTGTCTATATCAGCAGCTATCAATAGTATATATTCGTCATTCAAAAGGAGAAACCGAAACAAAGATATATGAGATAAACGCATATATACAAAACGTAAACAAAGCAGTGCTTGCTTACCATTTTGAATATCAGTAACATTGATAACTTTAATCATTTTAAGTGGCTCATGTTATGAAAACATTCGCGTATCTGACTCGTTCGCTAAACTGAACATCCAATCAGAGCTTTCACTCGTGGCGACGGCCCCGAACGCCGATTCAACATGTTGAATCGGGCAAACTGCCGCCGACGAGTGGAACACACCAAACAAACTAGCCCGACCATCGCTCGCCATTGGCCCGACATTGGCCAACGGTTGGTGTGTCCCGGCCTTCAGAGTGGCTCGGTTCACAGCAAATTCTGCGCAATCTCTGCAGCTGCTCTAAAAAATTGTAATGAGAAGTGCTTATAATGCCTGTCGTCAACAAAAGAGAAGCTTTAATGGCTCCCTGGAGTTTTCTGCCAAAATTAAAGCTTGATGGTTTAACATTTGAAAATAAATATTAATATTAGTACTGTAAATAAAATTATTATATTATTTTCTTAAATACTAGATTTTTAAGTATAGAGTTAAAGGAACACTCCACTATTTTTGAAAATAGGCTCATTTTCCAACTCCCCTAGAGTTAAACAGTTGAGTTTTACCGTTTTCGAATCCATTCAGCCGATCTCCGGGTCTGGCGGTAGCACTTTTAGCTTAGCTTAGCATAGATCATTGAATCTGATTAGA